CCGCCACCTCGCCCGGCTAGTTTTTTGTATTTTTTAGTAGAGACGGGGTTTCACCATGTTAGCCAGGATGGTCTCGATCTCCTGACCTTGTGATCCACCCACCTCGGCCTCCCAAAGTGCTGGGATTACAGGCTTGAGCCACCGCGCCCGGCCCAGGAAACAGTTAAATGAACCAGGGAGCTACCAGACGGCTCAACGTGGATACATCTCAGAGATAATGCAGCAGCAAAAAGTTCTGTTGCAGAATAAAATGTGTAGGGTGGTAGCATTTATGTACAATTTAAGGAGCGTATAGAAGTCATTCTCCAGTGTGTATGGGCGCACAGGCAGGCAGGAGGCACATGGAGGCCTGCCCACTTGCTGCGCTCCCACGGGCAGGATGGGCACCTGTGGCCACTTCACCACATCCAGCTCCTCCTTTTGCACCTGAGGCCTGAGGGGAAGGAGGATGCTCTGAAGCCAGGGAAACCCCAGCAGGTGTTGAAGCTTGGGGTGGGGTGCATACAGTTTGTTACCATGTTCTCTGTACTTCTCAGGAATGTTTTAGGAGCATCAGCCTGACTTCTCACCCCTTTCCTCCCCACCTCAGTTCCGGATTTCGGAAGGTTCACGAGTGTTGCCGACACGCCCTCCCAGCTGCAGACATCCTCCCTGGAGGACCTGCTGTGCTCACATGCCCCCCTGTCCAGCGAGGACGACACCTCCCCGGGCTGCGCAGCCCCCTCCCAGTCACCCTTCAAGGCCTTCCTCAGTCCCCCGGAGCTGCACAGCCACCGAGGCACCGACAGGAAGCTGTCCCCGCTCCTGAGCCCCTTGCAAGACTCCCTGGTGGACAAGACCCTGCTGGAGCCCAGGGAGATGGTCCGGCCTAAGAAGGTGTGCTTCTCGGAGAGCAGCCTGCCCACCGGGGACAGGACCAGGAGGAGCTACTACCTCAACGGTATGGCCAGGTGCGGGGACGCCTGGGCGGGCCCCCAGTGCAGCTGGTAGCTGTGGGGAGGGCGCGTCTGGGTGGTCAGGCAGGGCCGTTTCTCCATCGCGTCACACAGAGTGGAGGGAGGAGAGCCAGGCTGGGAGGCTGGGGTCCGAAGCTGTGTCTGTCCTAGTCTTTTGCCAAGAAAAAATGCGTTGCTGGTCTTCTTGGGAAGGGTTCTTTACGTGTCTGGATGCGAGTCCTTTTTTGGGTGTATGTTTTGCAGATACGGTCTCCCACGCCAAGGTTTTCCACTTCCATAATAATGTTTTTTGATGAGCAAAACTTTAATTTGATGATGTCCAATTTGTTGATTTTTCTTTTTTATTTTATGTTTTTTATGTTCAGTTTAAGAAATCTTTGCCAAGCCCAAGGTCACACAGATTCTCTCCTATGTGTTGTTCTAGAAGTTTTATAGTTTAGGTTTTACATGTAGGTCTCTGATCAATTCCAAGATAATTTTCATATATGGTGTGAGGTTTGGATGTAGATATCCACCTGAGGCTCAGGCTAACCCCCCACCTCAGCCTCCTAGGTATCTGGGACTACAGGTATATGCCACCAGGCCTGGCTAATTTTTTGCTTTTTGTGTTTTTGTTGTTGTAGAGATGGGATTTTGCGCCGATGCCTAGGCTGGTCCTGAACTCCTGGACTGAAGTAATTCGCCTGCCTCAGCCTCCCAAAGTGCTGGGATTACAGGCATGAGCCATCATGCCTGGCCTGTCAATTTTATTTATCTTTTCAAATAACCAATTTTTTGTTACATTGATCCTTTGTATTGTTTTCTTCATTTAAATTTCATTTATTTCTGCTCTGATCTTAATTATTTTTCTTCTAATTTTGGATTTGGTTTGCTCATACTTTTCTAGCTCTGTGAGATGAATCATTAGCTTGTTTATTTGAAGTTTTTCTACTTTTTGATGTAGGCACTAATAGCTGTAAACTCTTAATACTTATCACTATAGCTTTTAGTATGGCTTTTGCTGTGTCTAGTACATACTAGGTTTTGGTATGTTGTGTTTCCATTATCATTTGTTTCAAAACATTTTAAAATTTCCTTCTTGATTTCTTCAATGATGCACTGGCCATTGAGGAGCGTATTGTTTAATTTCTGTGTGTTGGTGTAGTTTCCAAAATTCCTTTTGTTATTGATTTCATTTTATTCCATTGTGGTCAGAGAAGATACTTGATATAATTTCAATTGTTTGATTTTTTTTTTTTTTTTTTGAGATGGGGTCTCGCTCTGTTGCCCAGGCTGGAGTGCAGTGGCCGGATCTTGGCTCACTGCAAGCTCTGCCTCCTGGGTTTATGCCATTCTCCTGCCTCAGCCTCCTGAGTAGCTGGGACTACAGGCGCCCGCCACCTTGCCCGGCTAGTTTTTTTGTGTTTTTTAGTAGAGACGGGGTTTTACCACGTTAGCCAGGATGGTCTCGATCTCCTGACCTCGTGATCCGCCAGTCTCGGCCTCCCAAAGTGCTGGGATTACAGGCTTGAGCCACCGCGCCCGGCAAATTGTGTGATTTTTAAAGACTTGTTCTGCAGCCTT